GGGTGGTCCAAGTGGTCAGGACGGCAACTGTTGCGGGTACATTACCAATTTATCTAGGGACTAAAACGAGTCTATACGTAAACGTAAACATGTCACTGGACCAAAGCTTTTCAACTGAGTGTGCTTATCAAAATAAACACGTGGGTATAGATATATATATTGTTCTATTTATTAATGGATTTTATTTTATTTATAAAAGTTGCTTTCCATACTTAATCTAACAGAACAAACCGTTCGCTAGCATCATCGTTTGACATTCCTAAATATCATTACGCACAGAGTAATTTAACTTGGGTGTTTATTTGAGTCCACAAAACTAAGTCACACAGGATTCACTTATCGCTTCAAGTATGTTTTAAAACAAAAATCTGAGAAACTCGCTTTGGAAATTTTTCTTAGGCCTAAATCGCGGTGCTAAACAAGCTCGTAACACCAGGGGTGTTACAATTCACACCCTAAGGTGGAGTCGACTATCTGATCTATGCGTAGTAAAGGGAAGTGGTCCTTTGGGCACGCCTTGTTGAGACCAGTATAGTCAACACACATTCTCTATTTTCCATTCTTCTTTTTCACAAAGAACGGGATTAGCTAGCTAGTCGGAGTGGTATACCGCTTTGATGAATCCGGCTACCAGAAGTTTGGCGATCTCCTTGCCTATGGCCCTGCGCCTCTCATCATCAAAGTGACGCAGATGTTGCTTGGTGGGCTTTGAGCCCGGGACAATGCATAGTGCATGCTCGGCGACCTCCCCCGGTATGCCCAGCAAGTCAGAAGGCTTCCACGTGAAGACATCACGATTTACACATAGGAAGTCGGTGAGCTCGCTTTCCTATTTGGCCGAGAGCTTAGTCCCAAGCCGAACCATCTTGGTCGAGTCGGTGGGGTCGATCTCCACCGCCTTGGTTTCCTCGGTCGGATGGAAGGTACTCAAGGAGGTTGGCCCATTGTAGTCGGGGACTGCTGGAGTCGCCGAATTCTCGAGCTTCGGGAGCTCGGTGGAGTTGATGACGGCAGTGGTGAGCTCGTAATGCTCACGGTCGCATGTGTAGGCGTGCGAGAAGGTGGTACCTACGGTGATGACGCCGTTTGGCCCCAGCATCTTCAGCTTGAGGTAGGTGTAGTTGGGGATCACCATGTACTTGGCGTAGCATGGCCACCCCAAGATGGCATGGTAGGACCCCAGAAAGTCCACTACCCCGAAGGTTAGGACCTCCGAGTGAAAGTTGGCAATGTCACCAAACATGACGGGCAGGTCGATCTGCCCGATTGGGTATGTCTACGTCCCCGAGATCACGCCATGGAAGGGAGAGCTCACTGGGCAGAGCTCCGATCGGAGGATGCGCATGGCGTCGAGGGTGTCGACGTAGAGAATGTTGAGGCCACTGCCTCCATCCATCAGCACCTTGGTGAGGCGCTTCTTGCGGATGATCGTGTCGACGATGAGTGGGTAGCGACCCGATCGGGCGACGTGGGAAGGATGGTCTCTCTAATCAAAAGTGATCAGGGAGTCCGACCAGCTAAGGAAAGAGGGGATGGCCGACTCGGCGGCGCATGCCTCTCTGTAGCGTACCTTGTGCTGGCGCTTGGAGTGGATGGCGTCAGATACCCCAAAGATCATGAGGCATTCCTCAGGGTCGAGGAAGCCATCTTCATCCTTGCCTTTCCCTTCCTTTGGCTTGGCGGCTTGCCGTAGGAAGCGCTTAAGGAGCTCGTAGTCCTTGTAGAGGTGTTTGACGGGATAGGCATGGTTGGTGCATGGACTCTCCATGAGCTTGTTGAAGTGGTCGGCCTGGCCCTGCTAGGGCTACTTGCCCGCGCTATCGTCCGCGGTGACCAAAGCTGGGTTGGTCGGTCGGCACCAATCCTTCTTATTCTTCTTGCACTTTTGTGTGGAGGGGCACTCGCCTTGGTCCTCACGCTTGGCCTTGCCCCTGTCCCGATCACCGCTAAAGACTACCCTGACCGCCTCCTTGGTGGAGGCGTGGTTCATGGCAATGTCGAGCAGGTCGCGGGTGGTACGAGGCTTCACACAGCCGAGCTTGTGGATCAGGGACTTGCAGGTTGTCCCAGAGAGGAACGCGCTGACGACGTTCACGTTGACGACATCAGGAAGGGAGTTGCACTGCTTTGAGAACCTACGGATGTAATCCCATAGGGACGCGTTGGGCTCCTGCTGGCAGCTCTTGAGGTCCCAGAAATTCCTAGGACGGACATACATCCCCTAGAAATGTTCGATGAAGACCCTCTTGAGATCCGCCTAGTCGCGGATGCTGTCGGGAGAAAGGAATTTGAGCCATGCTCAAACATGCTCCCCCACGCAGATGGGGAGGTACTGGATGATGAAGTAGTCATCATCCACTCCTCTGGCTTGGTAGGCAAGCCGAAAGTCTTCGAGCCATATACCAGGGTTCATCTCCCCGGTGTACCTAGCGATGTTGGTGGGCGGTTGGAAGCGATGTGGGAACGACACTTTTTGGATGCGGCGACCAAAGGCCCGTGGCCCTAGGACGTCCGGGCTGGGGCTCTGATCGTTTGGTCGGCCGCCATGCCTGGGGTGCGTGTCCTCGCACTCCTCGATGGTTAGGCCGGGGCCCGCACCGCATGCTCTCGATGCCATTCGATGGACGTCATCATCGTGCCGAGCATGGCGTCAATTTTGGATGACGCTACGAGCATCATGGTTTGGTCCGAGCCGTTCGCACACAGGTGGTCGGTGTGGAGCGGGCGCTGGGTTGGGCTACGGCGCAGCTGCGACCTCCTGCTCCACACTCGACAACTGTTGTGGTGAATGGATAAAGTGATTCGACTGGTGCGGCCCTAGTCCCCCGGCTAGGCAAGAGGCCGTGTTCCAATGTCGCGACACGGAGCTTTCCGCCTACTGAACGACGGTGGTCTCCACCAGCGCTCGGAGGTTTCGGTGGATCGCCTGCTCCTAGGGGTCGGTAGGCTTGGGGAGGCCGCACAGAAGCATCGTTGCAGCAGCGATGTTCTGGCCAGCCCGAGCAAACTGAGGGGGTCATCCCCTCCATCTAGGATGTTAGGCTAGACTTGACAGGCATGACCCCGAGCGCCGCTCGCTGCGTTACACACATGTGGCACAGCGTGATACAGTGGGCGCGCTGGCGCAGGCGGCGGTTGGCTCTGTCGCCTTTGTCGTAACTCCTCGCTGTGCTCTTGCGCATGCGCCAGGGCCTGCGCACGGGGGTCCATAGGGGTGTGAGTCTACAGAGACTCCACTACCTCCGGTGGCTGTCCTGGGGTGTCCGCCATAGCGCACTCCCGGGACAGAGGGTGGTCAGGTGCCATGACGTCGCCGATGCTGGAGCCGTCGCTTTCGACCTCATCATCGACGAGGTCGTGGAAGAAGGTGGGAGTGTAGCCCGCCATCCCCACGAACTCGGACGTGAGAGGGGACGGCGTCAGCATCCTTTGGAGCCCCCGTGCGCACGCGTCCACGGGGGACACGAAGCCGTAGGGGGACCGATTGCACGACGGTCGCGGTGGGGACAACAGGGTCCCTCCGGAGAGTTGGCGGAAGGTGTTAAACAGTGAGTAAAGAACAATATGTACATAACTCACCGTAGGGTTTGAGCCATGTATGGGCTTGAGGCAAAGCGTGGGTGTCTCGATGTTGAGGTCGTCGAGTGGCCCGAGGCAGGTGGAGGGCACTCCTCCTCCAGTGGACGCCGGGACGAGTGCCTCCTTGCGGACGCGGAGTATGCCGAGCTGGTCAGCGATGAAGTCCAGACTCCCGAAGAGGAAGGTCTGGAGTGTCACGAAGACGAGAGGAGCCCACATCCCAGCAAGTGGGAGCGTGGGAAACTCCAGCGGCAGAGCGTATGCTCTGTGTGTTCGAGCTTATCAGCTGTTGATAGAGTGTAGACTGTGTAGCTGTCGAGCTCTAGAGCTGTTGAGCTATGTAGCTGTCGAGTTCTAAAGTTGTTGAGCGGTGTAGCTGTCGAGTCCTCAGAGGAGAGAGCGCATCCCCTTTTATAAATGAAGGGGATGGCCTTACAAGTCAAAGACGAAAAGGGAGAGAGTGTGTACGGGTGCTACCTAGTCTTGTTGCCCACATCGTCGGATACGGCACGCCATCGCCCACCTTACTGTTCATGACCTGCTATACCTGGCAGGCTACACAGTGTTCGCCACCTTACTGTTCATGACCTGGCAGGCTGTACAGTGTTCGCCTGGGACGGCAAACGACGGCGCCCACAGTATTGTTTGTGCTCTGCCGCGTCTAGCAGGCTGTATTGTGTTCGTCTAACATGGCCTGACGGCACCGTCCTGCAGGTGCGCAGGGCACAGCAGGGTACGGTCCTCGGTATTGCGGTTGACTTGAGCGCCTTACCTTATCTGTGTCCTGGTCGGTCGTTCCCAGTCGGCCCCGACCGTGTCGGTCGAGAAAGAGAGGCGAGCAAAGGTCCGGCATATCCTCGGTCGGAGGAACGGGGTCGGAGTCGGACTGCGGTCCCACCTCGGCCAGGCCTTCTTGTCGAGGCTCTGACCAGGTCTCCTGGCCGGAGATGCCGGTCGGGGACCGAATCATGGTCTCGGCCTGTCATTGTGTATCTGGGCCGACCTAGATGCGGGCTGTCGCTACGCCGCCTGCTGGGCCGAGTATTGCAAGGAAGCGGGTCCATTGGGGACCCCGGGTTTATAAACGCGACACTTCCTTTTCTCCGATCACAGATTAAGCCTCCCAATCTTTGATCTAGTTACTTTACCTTCAATATCAGTAATGCATAAGAATCTTCATTTCAGAGAGATTTCTGTCACGCAAAATCAACAGTTGTTTAGTCATAAGTCTGAAGTAACAGTCTAACAGGTATAAATTACTTTTGTTATGCTCATGCTACCATGGACCTATGTATCGCACTAGTGCACTGTTGTTTCTTACTGCGAACTAAATATTTGTAATGTATTTCATCGGAGTCTATTTATGTGGGCATTTCCATATCTCTAGCTATTTAAGAAATTGTCCCTTGCATGTCGTGCAGGTTTTACCCACTTTTATTTCTGTACTTAATGCAAAAACTGGCGATGGGTTTTACATGGATGTCCCTGGGCTTCAGTAAGAATACTTTTCACATATTTACCGAGCTTAATCGTTGGGTTACTGTGGTTTCATTAAAGTTACACAGTATTTGACCTTCATTTTTTTGTCTCTAGTCAGTCAATCCTTGGTAGGGTATTGTCAATATACTTACACTTGAACAATTTGGCTTGTTTCTGTTCTCCAGCTATGACCCAGCACTTCTACTGCATGGCCAGCAATACATAGAGATATATAGACCAATTCCTTCACGAGCTAATGTAAGTTGTACACCAAAATTGTTAGTCTTGAAAGAGTAACTCTTCATGATCTATGGGTTAACATGTGATGTGTAATCTAGATAGCAGATGGTAAATTTCTTTTAAAAAATAGGGCCATGTTAGGCTGATAGTTTCTGCGGCTGATAAGCCGACTAATACTGTTTTATTGTGAGACAAAAACACTATACCATGGCTGATAAGCAGTTGAAGTGAACATGGCGTTTATTATAAATTGATAGACAGAAGGCATATGCCTGCATTTAAGTAAATCTATCATATTTCCTTTACTATTTAACATATTTTTCAATATTTACTATTTTGTACCCCAAAATGTGATTGACCTTTTTCTTTTCCCCAGGTTGCTAACAAAATTAAAATAGCTGGTTTGCATGACCGAGGTATTCTCTCCGTGATATTTGATCACTCAATTTTGATTGTTTTGTTTCTTCTTTGTTCTTTCTATCTCGGTATCTCCATGGTAAAATGTGTGGCCAAGGTTGAAGATTCTAGTATAGTTATTAATAGCACTAATTCACCCATGTAATCTGAGCCTCTCAGCTAAACTAGTGATGCGATACATTGTTTTGATATGTGAGCAGGATCTCTATGGTATCAGACCATGAAAAGATATCTTCTTCCAGTCTTTTGAAGATTTATTCTGTTATAGGCCTATTATAGCTTACTAGTTTGATTTTTTGGCTGTTTCAGTGTTATCCATAGTAATGTTCTAAAATGCAAAAAATATGAATAAATATTTTACTGGGACCATAATTCCTTGTATCTGTAACTCGATTAAGAAATCAAGAGAATTTTCCTTTTAATGTTGAATTCACAATTACGCCTGACTTCTTATGCTCAAATACCTTGTCCAGAAGTGAACAATATAAGTGCATGTGTTGATTGGAACAAGTATATGGTTAATGTTGCTCTTGTGCGGGGAAGTTATACTTCATCTAAAATGCCATGTCCCTCTTTTGCAGGGAAGGCCGCTATTCTTGAAGTTGAAACACTAACCTGTCTTGAAGGTTCTGGTGAAGTTTTGTGTATGAATAGGTCGGTACTTTTTTTGAACAATTGAGCTATACAGCTTGACTGGAATGAGTGAATAACCCATTGATGCGACACCTGGCACAGGAGTACTATCTACTTGCGTGGTGCTGGTGGCTTCTCCAACTCTTCACAACCGTTCTCATATGCCACTTATCCTTCTAATGAGGTTTCCGATGTTACATTTCCAGATTCCACACCTTTTGCTGTGTGTGAAGATCGCACTCAGAAATCCCAGGCACGATACTTCATTCCATATGTAAATTTCTTTCTGAAGTTGTATTTGCAATTGCTTATTTCTAGCGAACATGCAGGATAGCTTATCTTTATATTTCCATTATTTGTACACTTGTTGCAACACAGCTCTTCTTTCTAGTTTGATTTGTTTTGTTGAATTTATCTGTCCTATGTGGAAGGCATCTCAAATACTGCAATTCTTTTTTTTTCCTTAACACAATATCTTTCAAGGCTGTTATTACATTTAGCAGCGCCGTTTTTCTCTGGTCAAATTTGACACACAACTTCAGATTAGGAAATATTAATCAAAGTGTTACAAAGTTGTCCTATTTTAAATCTCTGAGGTTTCTCTCTGTTGGTTCAGGCACTACTCTGCGGCTTATCTGGCTATTTTCATCCTTTGCATTCAGATCCCATCTTTGCACAGGCTGCAGGGTATGTTGCTTTAGCTACTAGTTACAACTCATCTTCAGTTCCAGTTTGGAATAAAAGCATTATTACTAGAGTTTTGTTTTTGCTTTTTTTAGAGAGAAATTACGAGAGTTTTATTATTTTGCATAAAACCAACTTGTTTATAAATATCTATCCATTGCCTTGGATCAAGGGTATAGTTAGCACCGTATCCCTAGTGTTCTTGTCTTCTTGACTAACTTATATATGCTTATCTAACTTAATGGGCTAGCGCCAGCTAACCAACTAATCCCGGCGTTGGCTGTTGCTAAAGTTGTTAGATTGATCTCGGCCAATTAGGCCCTTGGATCCGCGCACTGATCGTGGGCGCCCAACCGCTCCATGGTTGGTGGGCTCCCGTCGCACAGCGCCATAAAAAGAGAGGTGGGGGCCAGGGCACAAGGCACGAGGTTCACCTGAGCCACCAGACATCCCACCAACATCCTAACCCTAGCCGATATAGAGAGGGGGCGTTGCCAGCGACGGGAAGCTCCGCCACCGCAACCACACCTTCACCGTCGGGCTTCACGGCGCCACCAACAAGCAACCCCATGGCCAGCTCGTCTTCTACAAAGGCGGCTGATGGACTCGCTATTTATCCCAAATGTCAGTATACATGCTAGATCTATGGCTAGACGATCCTGTCAAGTATATCAATGGTATCAGTCGCCTAACTAGGCGTAGATCTAGCTTATCAGGGTAGAAAACCGAGTAGAAGAAATTAGAAGGAGGTGATTCAAATCGGATCGAACTCCAACCCGAAACCCTAACCCTAACCCTAGAAGAATGGACGGAGAGGGTAAGAGACCTACCCGGTTTTTCTCGCCGCCGTCATCACCGCCGTCGCGCGGGAAGAAACTCCACCGCCGCCTTGCCGGCACGCGGGGAGATAGCCGAGCCGCGCTCGTCGCCGTGCGCGCGAGCCCCGACCGAGGGCACCGTCACAGGACCGCTCAACGGCACCGCACTCACCCACTGGGGAGCGCGCGCTCCGGCGAGGGGACCCGCGGCGGCGCCAGTAAAATCTAGGGTTTAGGGAGAGTCTCCACCGCAGCGCGTGTGGGGGCGCAAAGTGCACCACCGCTGTGCTGCTCGACGACGCCGCATGCAGATCAAGCCGCACGCGTGCACCGGCGAAGGACGCCACGGCGGCGCCACCACGCTCCTCTCTCGGGGCGTCGTGGTTCGGAGTGAGAGTGGGAGAGAGAGCCGACGCCATGGCGAAGAGAGAGAAGAGCAAGTGAAGAATGACCTAGGGTTCGTGCGCATGGCCGTGGTCAGCGTTTTTATACCCGCAAGAACGACGGATCAAGATGGACGGCTCCGATTGAACGGGCCACATCTGGCCCAGGCGGGGAAGGAGATTCCTGGCCCAGGCCCAGGTTGCGGCCTGGGCGCGGGGGAGCGAGCGCGCGCTCTGGTGGGCCGCTGCTGGGGCGCGGGCGGCATTTCGCCGCTGGGCCGAGCACTGTTTCAACGGGCTAGGCCAAATGAACAGTAGAACTGTGTTATTGTTTTATTCATTTTCAAAAGCAAATTTTGATGATTTTTTTGTCCAGTTTCAATCTCTATCAAAATTTGAACCAACGGGATAATTTTTTCAGAGAGTAGATTAGTACAGTTAAATGCTTCTAAAAAGTAGATAAATAATTTTTTTATGTTTCTGTTGCAATGTTAAAGTTTATTATCTTCTAATTAAATTCGAACCAACGGAAGAATTTAATTTGAAGAGTAGTCCTTGTTATTTTTCTGATCAACGTTGATAATAGCAATATTATAATGTTTATTCATAAGTTTTCTATGCATTAATTCTATTTCTGCCCAACGGTGATGTAGAATTAGTATATAAGAATGTTGTATGTTTTAGTTTTGACCAACGTTAAATTAAAGCATGCAATTATGATGTCATATTTTCTCACTATCTCTGACGGTGTTTTTTAAGACTCAACCCAATGGCTTTTGTCTCGCACATACTGCCTCTTGAAGGGCGCAACTACAGGGTATGGCGAGAGAAGTATGAACTAGCACTTGCGCTATCTGAAAATGACCTAGAGCTTACCTCCCCGTGTTCGACTAAGCTAGTGGACCCGGCGAGGAAAGATAATGAGACTGATGTTGATTTCACTGCTCGGCAGCGAGATCATGCAGAAGTGCAGATGAAATATGATCTCGAACGCAAGAAATTGGACATTTCAAACCGCAAGTGCTTGATGGTGGCTAAGTCCACTATTTCAAATGCGATAAAAGGGTCTATCCCAGATTGTGATACCGCCACAGAGTATCTTAAGAAAATGAAGAGTCAGTTTACTGGCTCTTCAAAGGCTTATGCCAGTACTTTGATCAAGAAATTGTTCAATAAGAAATACACTGGTGGCGGTATCAGAGAGCACATACTGAAGATGAGCAACACGACTTCGAAGCTGAAGCCAATGAATTTGGGGCTCAAGGATGAATTCCTTATTCATTTGGTTTTTGCTTCCTTACCTAAAGAATATGAAACTTTTGTTGTGAACTACAACATGTAGCCCGATAAATGGGATATAGAGAAGCTCATTGCAATGTGTGTTCAAGAAGAGGATAGGTTGAAAAGCTCACTGGGTGACTCTGCTAACCTTGTGAAGGACAACAAAAAGAACTTCAACAAGAATGTTAAACCTTAAGGGAAAGCCCCTCAGAATGACCACCATCAGAAGAACAACAATGCTCAAGTTAAAAAAGATCAGTGTAAATAGTGCAAGAAGCATGGACATTACCAGAGGGACTGTCCAGACTTTCTGAAGAGCCTTCTGAAGAGAGGTGAGGATTTTATTACATTCATAGATGAATCCTTATATTTAAGTTATGCAAAATCTACTTGGTGGATTGATTCAGGTGCAACTGTTCATGTTGCAAATTCATTACAGAAATTCCGCACGAGGAGGACCTTGCAAAGAGGAGAAAGAAGAATTAAAGTTGCAAATAGAGTTGAAGCTGAAGTTGAAGCCATTGGAGATCTCTCTCTAGAATTAGATGATGGTTTTAGACTATAGCTTTTAGATATTCTTTATGTACCCTCTTTGTGTAGAAACTTGATAAGTGTCTCACAACTAGATGATGATGGATATGATTGTTATTTTGGTAATGGCAAATGTCGGATTGTGATTAATAATAAGTGTGTTGGTCTTGCCTTCCGATAAGACAAGCTTTATTTATTATCACTTTCTAAGAATGTGAATGATGTGAGCACTGAGAATGAGAATGCTTCATCGTCTATAAATTCAACAAATAAGCGGAAGAGAGTGCATAATGTATCTTCAAAATTATGGCACTGTCATTTAGGTCATATTTTGAGGAGGAGAATAGAGCGATTGATTAAGAAATTAATTCTCCCGCCTTTAGAATTTTTAGATTTAGAGCAATGTATTAATTGCATAAAAGGAAAGTATGTTAAGAAAATAAAGAAAGATGCCAAACGAAGTGTAGGAATTTTAGAAATAGTTCACACAGACATCTGTGGTCCTTTTCCTGTAAAGAGTGTGGATGGTTATGATTCATTTATAACATTCACAGATGATTATTCTTGTTTTGACTATATTTAACCAATTAAGGAAAAATCGGAAGCATTGGATAAATTTAAGATATTCAAGGCTGAAGTAGAAAATTAGCACAACTTAAAAATTAAGGCAGTAAGGTCCGACCGTGAGAGAGAGTACTACGGTCGACACACCTCATATGGCCAAGTTCCTGGACCTTTTGCAAGGTTTTTATAGGGAAATGGCATAGTTGTCTAGTATTCTACACCGGGCGAGCCTCAGCAGAATGGAGTAACTGAAAGGCGCAACCGTACCTTAATGGATATGGTGAGAAGCATGATAAGTTACTCTACCCTAACGATAAGTTTATGGATGGAGGCGTTAAAAACTGACATTCATATTCTTAATCGAGTGCCAAGTAAGTCGGTGCCCAAAACACCGTATGAGTTGTGGACAGGAGAGGAACCCTCACTTAACTATTTACGTGTGTGGAGTTGTCCAGCTGAGGCAAAAATCTTTAACCCAAACATAGGTGTTTACACCAAAATTTGGAAAGAAGAAAGCAGGAACTCAAAACTTCTAAGATTGTATCATTAAGGAATCAATCAGATATGAATCGATATCGGCTGGTTTTGAGGCAGTATCGGAATCAGCTATTTTATAGATGACGTCAGCAGATAACGTCGATGGACTACATACGGATGGCGTCGGGGAAAATATGTCGGACTCTATAAAAAGGAAAAGATTAGGGCCCAAGTTATTTTAGAAATATTTTCTTTTATTCCAAGAATTGTAATGAGTCGTATTTGAGTAGGATTCATGTTTAGGTTCTGGGTATAAATATTGGACCCCGGTTATTATAAAAGGATATCTCACAATCAAGCAATACAATTACTTTTTCGGTTTCATGCCAACCCTTAGGAGTAGGAGTATTGTAGATCTCGATGAGTTCTTCAACAAGCAGTGCTGCATCGACTGATCGACCTCCGTCTTGCTTGTGAGTACCGTCATGACTTGTATCATACTTGTAAAGCTGCATCAGCCGATTGATCTTTTGCGAGTATAATATTGGTTAGTTATTGATCTGTATCATTATTTGTAAGGCTGCATCAGCTGATTGATCTCTTATGAATCATAATACAGATCAAAGTTATCGGTCTTGTGTTAAATAACTTGTTATTTAATACAATATCACAAGTTATTGAGTCTGCTAAGATTAGTAAGTTTTTCCTTGCTGTTTTTGGTTGATTCACCAGTTATCGATCTTGTTATTATTAATGTTCCATTAATCATAACAAATCATCTGATTGAGATAGAGATAGATCGGCATCATATCATCATAATTGGTCGTCTTCTAGTCTGGTCATGCTATGAATCTCATAATTGATAGCTTAATTCTGCTAGATCGATAGTTTTGTCTCTATTCCAATCAAACATAGTATGCATTCGAAGACATGTTTCAATCTTGAATAAACTCGCTAATTAATGAGATCTAATCTAATAACACCACCATAGCTGTATCGACCCGGTCGAACCTCATTGGTAAGACTTTAGATAAGAGATCATCGATTAGTAGCTTATTCATGATCGAGATATGTACTCTGTTTGTTTACTATGTATGCATCAGCTATTTTAGCCGATTTGTCTGTGCCTTCACACATATAGCATGTTTTTCATAAACCTATCAATATACAGATGGTTTTATGGATTCTTTAGCTTTAGTTTGTTATCATTATCATAGCGGTATTGATCCGGTCGAACCTCACTGTTGATGGTAACATATTAGATTCAGAGTGTTTGTAGATTCATTTATACTAGACAGTCGATTTGTTCGCATGTTATATCTTTTCTCGTTAAACTTATTGGCTCAATGCTTTACACTGGTTATATTCATTTAGCTGATGATGTTACTTATATCTGGATGCATTGTATTTATTATCATAAATCAATCATGACCCACAAGCATCATAGTCCTTAACAGTCGATTTCTCTTCATATCGACTATCTAGTCGATTCCCCTGTTTGGCTGCTCTCAAAACAGCATACTTGGAAATGTCTGGGTAACAACGGCATGTTCCATCTTAAATTACTGATAAAACTTTATCTCCTTATCAATTGCAGGTCAAATTGACTGGCACGCTTTCAGGATTTTCAGGATCGACTGGTCCTGTGTTGAAGCCAAGCAGATCTCTGGGTTGACTCCGCTCAGATCGTCTGGCTTGCAGTGTGTCAGGTGCATCGCCACATTTTTACGCCAATAATAGGGAAGGTAGAATCCAAGACAGTCAGTTATCCAGAAAAGTTAAAAGGTTATCGCTTCTATTGTCCTAACAGACAAACGAAGTTTGTAGAAACAAAACATGCTGTCTTCTTAGAGAATGATATGATCAGGGAGGCATGGTAGTGCGAGAAATTAGTTTTGAAGAGAAACGGGTATACATGCCCACTCCTATGGTTCAGGAGCCATTCTTCACGTTACCTGTTGTTGATGTACCAACAGTGCAAGACACTGTAGTAACAGCATCTGTTGTTAGTTCTCCTATGACAACAATGAATGAACATGAGGAACCTGCCCTTTAGAATCCCCTAGAACCCATTGTCACACATAAGGAAGAGCAACAACAGCCTCATATAGAACAAACGTCATCTAATGAGGCCCCTAGAAGGTCTCAAAGAGTCAGGAGATCAGTCATTCCTGATGATTATGAAGTTTATGAATGTGAGGAATTTCAAATAGAGAGTGATCCCACCTCATTTGAAAAAGCCATGAGAAGCGCTCACTCATCCAAGTGGCTTGAAGCCATGGAAGATGAAATGAAATCAATGAAAACCAACGGTGTTTGGGACTTAGAAACAATTCCTAAAGGAGCCAAGACAGTAGGCTGTAAATGGGTCTACAAAACTAAACATGACTCCAAAGGGAATATAGAAAGGTTTAAAACGCGACTTGTGGCGAAAGGTTTTACGCAAAGAGAAGGCATAGATTACAATGAGACATTTTCTTCAGTCTCATGTAAGGATTCTTTTAGAATTATAATGACGCTTATAGCATATTACGATTTAGAATTACATCAGATGAATGTAAAGACGACGTTCCTAAATGGGAATTTAGAGGAAAATATTTAGATGGCACAACCAAAAGGTTTTGTTGTGGAAGAAAAAGAACGTATGGGATGCCGCCTGAAGAAATCCATTTACGGATTAAAACAAGCTTCAAGACAGTGGTATTTGAAGTTTGATAGTACAATAAGAAAGTTTGGGTTTCAAGAAAATGTAGAGGACAATTGTGTTTATGTAAAGTTCAAGAATGGAAAATACATTTTTCTAGTCTTGTATGTGGATGACATCTTGCTCACTAGCAGTGATGTTAATCTACTACTAGAAACAAAGAAGTTCTTGTCCTCGAAGTTTGATATGATGAATCTCGGTGAAGCTACGTTCGTCCTAGGAATAGAGATTCACCGAGATAGTGAAAATGGGGTTTTAGGATTATCACAAAAGGCATACTTAGAAAAAGTTCTAAAGAAATACAGTATGTAAAATTATAAGTCTTCACCTGCTCCCATAGTAAAAGGCGATAGATATGGGGAATTTCAATGTCCCGGGAACTAATATGAGATCGATCAAATGAAAGCGGTTCCATATAGTTCAGCTATCGGAAGTTTACAGTATGCTCAAGTGTGTACCCACCTTGACTTAGCATTTGTTACCGGGTTACTTGGCAGATATCAGAGTAATCCAGGAATATAACACTGGAAATTAGTAAAGAAAGTTTTGCGTTACCTGTAAGGTACGAAGGGTCTCATGCTAACGTACAGAAGATCTGATTTCCTGCACATAGAGGGGTATAAGATTCTGATTATACGGGAGATGACAAAAAATCCAGGTCATGATACATATTCACTCTCGCAGAAGGAGCTATATTGTGGAAAAGTTCAAAGCAAACCGTCACTACATCGTTCACAATGTATGCCGAGTTTGTAGCATGTTATGAGGCCACATGGCAGGTGAATTGGCTAAAGAAATTCATGCCCGGGTTGAAAGTGGTAGACGACATACATAAGCCACTCAAGTTATACTGCGATAATAATCCAGTAGTATGTTATGCTCACAACAATAAGTCAAGTGGTGCTGCTAAACACATTGACATAAAGTATTATGTTGTGAAAAACAAAGTCCGGATCATATAATTAGTCTTAAGCATATAAGAACAGAAAAGATGCTCGCGGATCCGCTTACAAAAGGCTTACCACCTAGCGTATTCAGAGAACATTTAGCCGGCATGGGTTTAAGGAAAAGCCTATGATTCCTTGACCATAATGGTTTAGTTGAGAATCTGTTTCAAAATAGAGAGGTGCATTGTAGCTGTTTAATCTAATAGCAACAAACCATGACGATGAAGCACGCTCTATGCACTGACTTGTGATGGAATGGGAACAAGATATAGTAAGTAAGTTAAGTTTAAGTCATAAGGTGAGATCAAAGAGGAGAATGTTAGATTGATCTCCACCAATTGACCCTTGGGCCCTTGGATCCGCGCTCTAATCGGGAGCGCCCAACCGCTCCATGGTTGGTGGGCCCCTGTCGCACAGCGCCATAAAAAAGAGAGATGGGGGCCGGGGCACAAGGCACGAGGTTCACCTGCGCCGCCAGACACCCCACCAACACCCTAACCCTAGCCGATCTAGAGAGGGGGCGTTGCCAGCAACGGGAAGCTCCGCCACCAGCCACCGCCGCCTCTGCACCGTCGCCACCGCGACCGCGCCACCGACAAGCAACCCCATGGCCAGCTCGTCTTCTACGAAAGCGGCCGATGGACTCGCTATTTATCTCAAATGTCAATATACATACTAGATCTATGGCTAAATGATTTGTCGAGTATATCAAAAGGAACTGCAGCTGCTGTTCATGTGCTGTGAATCCTCAGATCCTCCTGTGGCCGAAGCGCACAACAAATTAATGCATTTTTCAGATGATGAAGTAATGCCAATTTCATGTTATTAAGTTGGTAGCCGGTAGGACTATACAAGATATGCTAGAGTTTTTGCTGCATTTCTGGATGATCACTAGATTTACGACTGTCTGTGCTCTTCAACTCGCTAGCATTTCCTGCTCTGGTCTAAAGTCAAATGAATTTGTACATCTATCTGATCCATCTTTCATGCACAATTGCATTCTCAAACAGATTAACCTGAACTTAAAACTTGAAGGTTTACACGCCCAATAATGCCTGGACTGTCAACGCTTGGATTTGCTGTTCGAGCTATCATGAGGTCATTCTGCGACATGGAACCAACAGCCGTGAAAGCTATCTCCTGCCGGTTCCTGCACCATGTCTACCCAGGGGAAACTCTGGTTACTGAGATGTGGCTTGAAGGACAGAGGTAATGCCATGCTTTTTGGCAGCATTTTGATTCGGTAGAGCTCCATGAATACATTCCATGTTTTTGTTTTCAGTCGAAGGGTGTACTACAGAACTAAGGTGAAAGAGCGCGGTCGAGCAGTGCTCTCAGGATACGTGTTACTCCAAAACGTCCCTTCACCACTGTAAGCCTGTACTCCATAAGGTGAACGAACTGTATCCTATGCTCTCAGTCACAGCAGTGTCATCTCAAGAAAGGAGCCGCAGCAAATTCGTCTCAAGAGTTGACAAACAAGGGAGAAGGGACAAGGCAATTTCTTTCAGCTGGTGGTTTTTAGCATGAGTTATTGTCGAGTGGTTTAGGAACCCAAATCTTCGGGGAATGGGTTGCAGATTTCCGATTGTGAATTTGTAACAAAATCCTGTGTAGGCATCCATGCATTCCTCGTGCAGTCATGCTATCAGTGAGCTAACGTTTACGTACGCCCACAGACGTCGTCAGTATCCTTGCCATGTTGCCATGAAATTCTTTGGTATTGCTTGTCTTATGAGTATAGTTGTCTCCGATGTTTGAACACACTCCATTTTATGAAATTAATATTATGTATATGCTTGTGTTGAGCCTGCCTTAAGAACGGAAGATGAGGTTGTCTTGATCCGCTATATTTTCACACGTAACAGTACGGTGCATATTTTGATAGTAGTAAAAGAAATCTACAGTACTGCTACTAGTTACTCTTAATTACCAAAATTTTGAAAGATTGGTCATTAAATTACACATTTTTTTCTCAGCCAATTACGTTGTCTCGTACAAGCAGCCGGAGGATTATTTTGCAATCGGAAGATAATAAAAATTTAGCAGTTTTTCCTTCAAAAGTCAATTCCATTGACTCGTACAAGACCCGGAAGATTATTAATGCAGTCAGAACTGAAGTGGCGTCAAGCAAGAAGCAACGAAACAGTGACTGTGCCAACGGCAGATCGGGGATCCCAGTTAGCTTGTTGTGTCCTACCTGTCAGTGACACAGAAACCGGTATCAAATCCAACTCGGCGGCTGCCGCAGCCTCCCCTCGCTCACCGTCGACGACTCTGATCTCTCCCCTTTCAGATTGAGACTTTTCCCTGTGTGCTATTATAAAAATCGTAATTCCCTGTGTGTCTCTAGAAAAATTCAGCGGTCTTCAGCGCCACTACTTTAACTTTTTCGGGTCCTCCATGCCACTTCCGTCAGTTCAGGTTCTAACGCCGTTAAAGTGCAGGTGTGAAAAGACGAAAATGCCCTTAAGTTCAAATATGTTATTAATTTTTTTTGAGCATCTTAACGACTTCAAATGAAAAAACTCAAAACTAGAAAGTTGTAGATCTCGTCGAGATCTATAATTTTCATATAAAAATTATTTTCATTTAATTCCATAAAAAAATATGATTTGATATGATTAATATATCTTAGAAAAATCATCATTTTTTTTGCGGAATTAAATGAAAATATTTTATATGAAAATTATAGATCTCAACGAGATCTACAACTTTCTAGTTTTGAGTTTTTTCATTTGAAGTCGTTAAGATGCTCAAAAAAATTTAATAACATATTTGAACTTAAGGGCATTTTCGTCTTTTCACACCTGTAGTTTGACGGCGTTAGAGCTGAACTGACTGAAGTGTGAGAAGTGGCGAAAAAAAAAAAAGTAGTGGCTGCAATCATGAATTTTTTCTAGATGATGAGAGAGACAGGATCTTTTATAATGGCACACGGGAAAAGTCTCTTTCAGATTCCCCTTCCACGTCAGGTCAGACGTCACCTCCTCACAGCATCAACTCCTCTCTTCTTCGTCTCCAAGTAGCCAGACACCACTCCCACTTCGCCGGCGATCGCTGAGAGCGACGAGGCGCAGCATAGGAGGATAGGCCGTACGGGACGGCGGCCATGGCGACCAGCTCAAAACCCACCGCGCCCGTGGACCCCGAGGTCGTGCTCGCCCACGAGTTCCCCGAGGTAGAAGCCCCGCCACTCTTCCTCGCAACCTCCCCTGTCCGCCCGCCTTCGCGTTCTCACGTTCTCATCCCCTCTTCTGTGCTGCGCAGGTGTCCTTCGACTACGACGAGAGGTGTGGCCCCGCTCCATCCACGACCTGCCCGACTGCGCGCCTCCCGATTTGATAAGATCAGCTTCTGTAATTGATTCGCAGGGATGTAGCGCTGTACGCGCTCGGGGTTGGCGCCTGCGGCGATGACGCCGTCGACGAGAAGGAGCTCCACTTCGTGTACCACAGGGACGGGCAGCCAAACATCAAGGTCCAACTCCCCTCTCGGTTAATCCCCTCCCGTTTTGGTGCCAATTGGTAGCTGTTGCTGTGCTCCAGCCTCCAGTTTTTGGCCGTTCTGCTGTTGAACTTGCTTTGCAGCTATATGGTTTGGTGTTTTATGCATACCGTATATAGCCTCGTCGAATCTGTGTTGTCGATATTCAGATTTTTACTGTAATTTTATGTTGAGTTTACATTCTAAAGTCATATTAAACTAGATCCTGCCGACACATAGAGGTATTTTACAATTTCTAAATAGGTTCGTTGTTGCCAATTATCAAAACCTTGTCTTACTATGTTCAAAAAAAAAAAAAAACTTGTCTTACTTGCAGCTTGAGGTTGGAAAATTTTGGCCCTTAGCTTGGCTGTATCCATCCCAGATTTATTCCTGCAAGTTAAGTGGCTTAAGGTGCCCTTAATAAATTGGATGAAAATGGAGACAAACAAGACAACAGACAAGGAACTGTGTGTTCATCTATCTATTATCTTAGTATTTGTCGAACAAAAGAAGCCTCCATGTTAAGTCTAAAGGCCTAGAAATTACTACGTTGATAGGAGAAATAAAACCAAAATAACCCTATACATGTTGATAAATTACCCACACTGCCATTAAGCATGTTAATTTTTGTAAGAAGAAAAAGATATGCACCTTTAATTATGTGGGTCCAAACAATTGAGGCTGAGATTAATTTGATATATTGCAAATTTAGAAGATCGCATGAGTGTGAGCTGTGAGCAGAATAAAGAGTTTGAAAAGAAATAAAATATAGAGTCTTAATAATGGAGGAAACAATGTTCAACATGTACAGAAATGCTTAAAGCCTTAAACTATCTCTAAAGTCCTCCTAATAGTAATAAACGGTCCCGATACATAATATAGCAATGCCAAAAGCTGTATCATTCATCTCCGTCGAGGAATTGAGGTAAAAGCCGTACACAGCCTCAAGGGGCTCCGTCGAGATCAATGCTGATGTGTTCCTGTGGCTCAAGTTGGGCAATTAAAGGCCACTGCGTACCATAGCCATGGACACCGCCTGAGCTTAATATATAAGTTTGTGTTGGGTATTATGTGAAATTTAATCAAATAATTATATAATTTGCATTGAGCAACCACCAAGACGAAGAGAATCTTTTAAAAGAAAGTCAACTTGCACAAAATTAAAGACTAGAAAAGGTATTGGCCATGGAAAAAGGTACTAGGTGATGAATGGATTTTGAGCTATAAGAAATGACTTCGGTGCATATTTTGTTTTTACTTTGTCTTCATCTTTAACTTCTTTCATAGAAAAGACAACAACTTGGTGCATAGATGGGTTGCATAGAATTGATGCCATACATGTTTATTTTCCTGATGATGTTTTTTTTCAACTGATAGGCCATTGATACTTGCTGACATATTTGCATAAGGTTGGAAGTGTGCTGAAATATTTTTTTGGCATACACGTAGCAGATAATCCCTCCTTCATCTACAAATTCAATTTAAGGATAGATTAAGGAAGAAGGAAAATGACTTTGATGTCTTCATTGAATCACCAAGATTACAAAGATGCGATTAACACCTGCCTTTTCTACTGATAGGTGCTAAACATCGGTTACATTGATGCAAAACATGCTTGCTACCAAAATAAAACTGCTGCCAAATTAGTGATGAGGGAGGGGGAGGGGCATATTATATATGTAAAAAAAATGCTTACATTTATGAACAAAGTTTGAATGCTAAACATGCTTATATTTATGCTTAAAATGCTAAAAATTATCATAAATACAACTATACAAGGTGTTTCTTCTGAGTAGAATATATACCATGCAAAAGTAGGAACATTGCATATTCTTTTATATAATTGTTTGAATTGTAAAAAAAAACTCAGGATTGCATATGCAAACGATATTGACATGAACAAGTGAAAAAATGCGTAGTTCTATAAATTATTGACTATGTATATTTAAGTAACAAAAATTTCAAGTTTGTAAGGGTTGATGCTTCCTTTGTGCTAATCAATATTTGAACTAATTTTGTCTGCCTGTTAAAAATATGCAGTACTCATTATAATCTCGCAATTGCACGAGCCAGTTTGCTAGTTATTTATGATTTGTGAGACTTAACAAAATTAACAAATTCTGTTCTCTTATTGCATGAGAACAATTTATTTTGTGTGTGATTAAGGCATCAATAAATGTTTACAATGAACCTTTAGAGCTTATAGTGACAAAAGAATGCTGACTTCATGCAAGGCATGATTGAAATCAATGAACTTCCAATCGTGTATGAATGGGAACCAGTAGATGATTTTTAGCCTGTGCAACACTCCAATGTTTTGGTTCTGGGACCTGTATTCATAGAAAACACAATTGTTTGGATAGCTTTCAGTGAATGTAATGACCTGGCAATGTATTAAAGCATCTATACTCAAGAACTACGTTGAGCCATGCAGGAAGTTTATGTGGGGATATGTATACTCAAAGAAGTGAAAGATGTTTTTTCATGTCCTTTTTATCTCTTTTACTCATATGTCACTAGTCATCTATAAGTTCTGAACAAGACATTTGAAAGGTCAAGTCTGAATCACTGCACTGGATAATAGTACAAGACTAATACACTAATATCTTTGTTTTTTTCATTAAAATGCAGGTCCTTCCTACTTTTGTTTCTTTATTCCCCAACAAGAACAGCAATGGGCTTGGATTTGTTGATGTGCCTGGCCTTAAGTAAGAGTTACATAAAGCAATAGCTTTTGAGATTGACCCTCTCTATTATGTGTTCTGCTGCAATTCTTCTTGGCCCTTGTTTTTCATTTCCATAGGTGCGCAGTGTTCAGGTTTTGTCAGGTCAAATTGGTCAACATTCTGAGTGTACATTTATTGTTACGATAATTTACCTTATTTTCTGTTCTCCAGCTTTGATGCAAGCCTTCTACTGCATGGTCAACAATACATAGAGATCTATAGGCCAATCCCTTCGTATGCCAGTGTAAGTAGCTTTACAGTTCTCCAAAGTTTGTGTTAATATCTTTGTGCAGGGAGATTATACATGGTATAGGCATTTTGGTGATTAAAAGCATTATTTATGAGAGTTTCAGACTTCCTGTCCAGAAATGGCTAGATCGGTTCCTTTGGATGTGGGCTAACCAACTGGAGTTTCATCTCATCTAAACTGGATTGTTTTCAATTTATTTTTGCATGATCATTAGTTATGACTATGGGTAGGTCAATGCAATGGCTAATGTTGATGATGTCCTCTAAATAGAATGATTACAGTAATGCTCAATTTTCTTGTTTTATTCAGCATTTAGGATGAAACATTCTTGAGCGGCCCATCTTTGGTTTCAACTTACAGAAGCAATTGTCTTCTTGTATTTATTGTTCAGGTTGTAAACAAGGTTCAAGTAGCTGGTTTGCACGACAAAGGTACTTGCTCCCCACCCAACCTGAATTGATAAATTTGTTACTGACTGAATGATACAATACTTTTTTTATCATCAGGCTCCTTGCTTTTTTTCATCCTTGAAATTAATGTCCATGTTTCCCTACTTCAACTCATTTTTATGGTAGCTCTGACTCATGTTATTTCTTGATATGAAATATTTAACATTTGGTTGAACTAGGGGGGAAAGTTCCAGCATTTTGTTATAGACTAACAATTGTCCATCTTGAGATAATAAGAACCACAGATTTTATTTTTTGCACAGCAATGAATGACACACATCGTAAAGCTACAAACCATTTCCATAAAACCATAACGAAGAACAGTATAGCGTAATCCTTCCTGTGATAGTTTTGTTGCAGTAGAATTTTGAAGTTGCAGCTTTGTTCTTGGAGGAATGAAGGGTTCTAGTGAAAAAAGATCTTTATTTATCAACTACATCCTGTGTAACTATTAAGTTGGTCCTTTCGATTTATCCCTCTGCTTAAAGTGCCCGCCATCCACTCTTGCAGTAATGTTTTGTCAAACTGCCAAAGTACTACTTAGCACCTTGAGTTTTAATCATCATAAATGGCATCCCTTAAACGATTTCACCACTGATCTGGTATCCTTCTGCCAAAATACTCCAGGGATTTCATTGAATTGATTTTACTGAGGCGCTATTTTAATGTGCAGGGAAAGCAACTGTTCTTGAGCTCGAAACTACCACAAGCCTCAAAGAGTCCGGCGAAATTTTATGCATGAACAGGTCAATATGATGCCCGTTTTATTTCAGACTCCCAGTAGAGCACCATAACCTACAAAAAGAACAATGCAGTTATCTTAGTTTGTAATGCAGGAGTACTATCTACTTGCGTGGTGCTGGAGGGTTTTCAGACTCTTCGCGACCATTCTCATATGCTACTTATCCTGCTAATCAAGTTTCTCGCATTTCTATTCCCAATTCGGCACCTTCTGCAGTACATGATGACCAAACAAAGCAATCCCAGGCACGTTAATTTATTTGCTTGTGCAGTACTACAATAACTCGTCTTTGATGCTAATAAGGCACAACTCATATCTCACACTGTGATAACTTTTTGTATAGCCTGTTTTGATGAATTAATGTGTCCTTCCTACTGGCCTCATTCATAGTACAATTCAGTGTCTATGCTTTCAATTGGTTTAAGTTCTGTGTTATTTGGCCAAGACCCCAAGTGAACAAGTTTTTAGTTTTTTTTTTTTTAGCAAATGAAATCAGTTTCTCAGTTTGTTAACATGAGTGTTGTTATGCAAAGCCTAATTCTTTCCTTTTTTTAATCAGGCATTATTATACAGGCTATCTGGGGATTACAATCCTTTGCATTCAGACCCTGATATTGCACAGCTTGCCGGGTATGCCCCTTCAGATTGCTATCTATCTTTGTATTTAGTGACATCGAGGAAGTATTTGGGGGTAGATGTTGGACTGAGAAGCTCTCAGTTTCAGGCTTTCAGCCTATTCTTTCTTAGCACTTGTCCAAGTTAAGCACCTATTAGAGAATCTCAGGAAGCAGGTAACTAATTACCTAACAGCGTGTTTGGTTAGTGGAATGTCTCCATGCAGAGCTATCCGATCCAGAAACCGAACCTCCTCGAGCTGCTTCGTTTGCATCAGGGATTCACATCATCCGTCACCGTGTAGTACTCCTGTGATAGTGATTCCGCAGGATGAGTTCATTCCGCAAAAAATGCTGGACCGACCCATTCTAATTAAACTCATGCCGCATGAACCAAATCCACAAACCAAACACACTGTAAAAGCATTATACGGAGTATTAACAGCAGGGCGCCAGCTCTCACTTGCTGTATTAACTTACATCCTTACCTCTGAAATAAAAGGGGCAACCAGTTTTCCACTTTTTTCTTTTCTTTTTTGATAAAGAAACCAGTGTTCTACATTAGTCCATGGTTAGCACTTATCAGACGCACTGACATTGGTTTGGATGTTTTAGACGAAAATGAAGGATTCCTTGATGCCATGAACTTCAGGTTCCGAGTCATTTCCCCTCATTTGAGATGAACTTGAATCCCAGCAACCAGTGTTCTACGGTAGTCCAGGGTTAGCACTTACCAGACACACTGACATTGGTTTGGATCTTTTAGTAAAAAAATGAAGGATTCGTTGATGCCAGAATGCTAAGCATGAATTTTAGGTTCTGAGTCCTTTTCCTTCATTCTGATATGAACTAGAATCCCGGTGAAATGTCTCGGCACTCTTTATATTCCAATGATGACTTGATCTTCCGAGTGAAATATTTCTGTTCTGTTTATTTACATGATCTGACAAAAGTACTGCAAGATCCCCCCTTTACCTGGACTCAGCTTTCCATGCATGAAGCTTTGGTTCTTTACTGAAGATTTTGTCTGATAGGAGCTTTTGCAGGTTCACTCGTCCAATCCTGCACGGTCTCTGCACCCTAGGATTCGCTGCTCGCGCGGTCATAAAATCTTTCTGCTACGGTGAACCGACGGCAGTGAAGGGCATCTTCGGCCGGTTCCTTCTGCACGTCTACCCCGGGGAAACGTTATCCACCGAAATGTGGCTTGACGGCCAGAAGTAATAACTGCTATTCTGGCCACAGCTGAACTCTGCACCTGCTGCTCATATTCCTTGCTCACGAAAATGATTTGGCCTTTGCAGGGTGCACTACCAAACGAAGGTGAAGGAGCGGAACCGTGCCGTGCTCTCTGGATACGTGTTGCTCCAACACATTCCCTCATCATTGTAAGTAAAAGAATTTGTTTCTTATTTGGTGCCCGCTGAAAGCATTGGTTGTGATAAATTGAGAGTTGCTGCACGAGGTGGGCTGCCACTGTAATGATAGCCAGAAGTCTTGTACGGGTCTGCACATAGCACATTCGTACTGTACTCGATAAGAAATTGCTGTGTTGTTAAGTCGGGGTAAAGAAAAGCTTTCAAACCATTCTTTCTTTGTTTCCTGAACACTACTCTGTACTGCTTGCTTGCTTGTTTTTATTAGCTAAATAAAATCCCTGTAGGGGGCTTTGGCCCCTCCAGTAAAAAAAAAAAAAAAAAAATCAAACCAAGAGACTCGAGTCTGTTACGCGCCATCGTTGGTCTATTAAACGTCAGCCCGTGACCAATCCATCATCAGACTGGGCACTGTCATTCATAAAAGTGATTCCGTGCTCCTGCCAGTCTGCTGCCTCTGCTTTGCCCGCGGAGGCTGCTGGGACTCGAGGGAATAGTGATCCGTACTTTTTCAGCCAAACAATCGTATTTTTTTCTGGCTTATCAGCTAAACGCACAGTCCACATGTCTCTTAAAAGGACTGACCAGAAAACGAAGAGAATCTGGAGAAAGAATCTGACGGACGACAGAGATTTGTACCAAAAGATAAAGCTTCGCTTACGCTTTCAGCACCAGGTATGATATATGGGACCTGCGTAGCGGCAGCGACGAGACTGGCCACTTTTTCCCGACTATTTCGTTTGTGGTTTGGCAAGAGCAGCTCATTTTGGTTGTACCATATCGTATTCTCGTAGCTGCGCGAACAGGAGAGCTGCATGGAGCCGTGCAGAGAGAGAGAGAAAAAGCTACCAAATAGATGATCTTGTGAAACAAAAGAACAATTATTATACCTGTACGGTCGTAGTCGACTTGAGGTTAGGTATAATATATCCGTCTATATAAGCTCTTCCAAAGCTCACGTGAGGTCGACTAATTAAGTTCGGTAACTAAAAACACAGATTTTCATAGCTGGACTGACGATACAGGTAGCAGGTCCATTGCTCATGGTAAGAATGGTGACAACAAGACATATAGATCCCTGTTTTCGGGAGTGACTTTGGAGGGAGTATACTTAGGGCGCGTTCGCTGGTTTGAACCGGCTGACCAGCCGGCTGCTCCTCCTCACAAGAACCAGTCAGTTTCAGCCGCTATAGTGTTTCTCTCTCACAACAACCAGTCAGTTTAAGTTTCAGACCAGCGAACGGGGCCTTACTCTATAAAAAACCTATAGGGGAGAGCATTGTGTTTGTGCAGATATGATGGGATCACATCCGTTGTCATCGCCACAAACTAGCAGGACCAGTGTCAAAAAAAATATTACACAGCTCGTTAGCCCACCATCAGGGATCAGGGGCTGCCCACCATCAGCTTCTCGTTGTTTGATTTGTTTGGTTTGATCCCACAGAAAAGTGAAACCTAGCTACACGTATATACATCTATCCCGCCTCAAAAGAATAAGAATGAAGCTACTCTACATCTGTTTGGACCACTCATGGTCAACTTTTGGGCTTCAAGATTTTCTTATAGCTAAGCTCAGCAGTGTCTTTCCCATCGTTAATGCTTTATTAAGTACTTACTAAGAAGTAAAAAAAAAAGGCCTGTTACAAGCCGACACCATGAGTGTCGATGCAAACAGGAGAATCAGCAACAATTTTTAAGGTCTAATTAATCCTCACAAATAAGAAGAAAAAAAACCGACAATGCATCGATCTGCCGTGTGTTTTTCCCATCCCAGAAGTCGCAAAACTAAAAGAGATGGGAACAAGTGCAAGTGCAGGAAGCCAGGAAGGGAAGCTAACGGTACGACGCCGCTGGTTAATTGCTGACGCAGCTGGAAATTTGTTTTCCCTTTGCATGCAGAGCTGAAACGGAGGACCAGACGAACGTCCACGACGTGGAACCTGCAGGCTGTGGCGCCAACGCTGAAGAAACAGGGCTCGGAGACGCGCGTGGGCAGCGCAGCCTAGTGTAGCAGTAGCTGACTGGTGGGTACTTATGCAGAGCCGCAAAGGCGCGCTGCTATACCGCGCAGTGGTGTTCTGCAGCGTCCATATATATATATATATATATAGCCATGTTTCTTTTTCTCCTATTTACGCGTCAAGTGGAAATAAAATATAGTAAGACCTTGTTTGTATGCACATGTGTTGAAGTGGATTAGAGTAGAACTTAAATTAATTCCCACTCCAATCCACCTCAATATATGTGGCTTGATGTGGATAGATGTGCATCCAAACAAGACCTAACGTGGAATTAAATAGTGCACCATTGCAATGGTGTGAATGTATGAGTAGTGCAATGCCAAAGTTCCATTGTCATCGTGTTGGCTTTTAGTTTTCTCGCTGATCCTAATTGGCATTTACTCCATTCTAAATTAGAGGTTGTTTTGACTTTTCTAGATACACGGTTTTTATTATATACTCCATGTTTTGTGTTTTCTAAATATTTTTTTTTTGTTATGTATCTAGATATAGTGTATATCTATCTTAAAGAGTCAAAACGTCATATAATGTGAAATGGAAGGAGTATAATTTAGTAAGATTCGGTACTGGTTTCTCTTTTTTTGAATTATAAGATAAATCGGCTATCAATTTTACAGCACTAACAAATAGATAACATCTTTAGAAAAAATGGTACTGGTTTCATGTTTTAGATAAGTTGCCTATCAATGTTAGAGGTTAAATTAGTTCCTTTAGAAAAAAAAACAAAAACCTCTCCTTTAAACCAGTTAGTAGACCAAAAAAATTTAGAGAGCATCTGCTACCTGATTTTGTAGTTCAGGGTTGAAAATCGCACTACCATACAAGTTGAAAGTTGAAACATAAATAGACTTCACACATAGTTTATTTTTAAAAAATTGTATCTAGCGAATTTGACAAAACTAAAGTGACCTATAATATGTAATGGAGGGAGTTAATGCTAATTTTGTTGATAGCATAGCAGCAGCAGGTCTGTTGGCAGCGCTAACCCACGGTGGGTTCAGCTACAGGTGCTGCATTATACTTTTCACCCAATTCCCTCCATCTAAAAAGAGTGTCGTTATGGAATTCGTAATGATCCAATTTTCTTAAGAGTCGTGTAATTTTAGAACCACACCTATTAAAAATACAAACATTTATAGTATATTTATTAATCATGTAATATATTCTTATGGTCAATCTATTTGGACACACAAATACTGATACTGTTTAAAGTAGAGTTTATCCAACTTAAGAAAAAAATAGCATGGGTTAAACCTATAATTGCATTTTCTTTTACACTAGTAGCTAGGTAGGGAGGTGGTTGAGGAAGCAGGAGTCAAAATGGCAACGGGTACCCGAAACCCGAGTACCCGACGGGTTTTACCCGATAAGGAGGCGGGTATGGAACATATTTTGCACCCGCGGGTATGTTATTGGACGAATTCTTGTACCCATCGGGTATCTTGGTGCAATGGTGTGGGTGTATACTACCCATACCGCATACCCATGCAGTAAAAAACCCGCATAAATAATATCCAACCTCTGCAATTTTAGCCCATATAAGCATATAGCCCATATTTGGCCCATATAAGCATATGAATATATATATTCCAGAACTCCCTCAAACCCTAATCCCCATATAAACATATTTGGAATGAACCAATGAGGCATCTGATCTATTTCAACTAGCTTGACCTGGATATATTTCTGTTTTGTTGCTCTATTGTTGATTTGTTTTGCTAGAAGCTATTATATTTTGGTGTGTGAACTCGGGTATATTGTTGGGTGCGGGTTACCCGTCGGGTGCGGGTATGGAATGAATTTTGTACCTACCTACGGGTATGGGTAACCCGACGGGTAAGATTTTGATCTGACAGGTGCGGGTACAGGTGGCAAGTAACCATCGGGTACCCGTGCTCGCGCATGGTCCATGGCTCGTGGTCGTGGAGACTCTTGTCTTGGGGCATTGGGGTTTGGGGTGGGGAAACGAAGGTTCCAATCGGCAGTGGGTCAGTGGGTGGGTGGGTGGGTGGGTGGGTTAGACAGACCAAGACCAGACGCGCCAAATCCCAGAGACGACGACACCCCAACGGCCCAACTCGCGTAGAGTACGTACTACTTGGATTAGGCGATTTAGGTAGTTGGATAGATTAGGTGTGCACACGTGATCACGCTTGCAGACGAAAGCGCGGATCGCTCCATCGGTTAATAATACAGTACTACTACTGTATATTTGTTGCTCTCTGACTCTCCGTCGTCGGGCGTCGGCTACGGCAATGATGCCTGCCGGGGGCCATGCGCCATGGCGTGGCCGCTAACTCTTAAGCATGCAGAAATCACGCATCAGTATTCAGCGCTATCATTTCGCGGCGCCGGCGCCGCGCGACGACGGCCGTCTCCTTTATCGTCCCATCCCCATCCATACCACTTTGTTGTTGTCCCACAGCAATAGCGTGCACTGGTACTTGTGTGCGTGACTGCGCGGTACGGTGCGTGCTTCTTCTTTTTTCGCAACAAGCGCTAGCTTAGCTGCCGGGATGCGGTTGTTGACACTTGCAAATAAACGCCTTTTTTTTTGGCTAATAATCTGATGGAACGGGACGGGAGCGAGCGAGGTGGCGATGGAGCGTGATCCCAAACCCCAATCATGGTGCATGGCCAGGCCACACACTACTGTTGGATGGGTGCATATCGTTGCGCCCAGAGCTCGGCTCGCATCCCGAGGGCCCCACACCTACACCTACACCTACGGCCGACCGTGCGCGCGGGGCCGGTTCATCGCTGTTCTCGTCGGCTCTGCACCAAGACGTATACCACTACTACATGATCGAATTTGCGCCACGTCGCCCGGGCGGCCTCCGTGGCAGGCATCTTTTTGTCCATCACGGTTAATGCCTGTCGATTTACGAAGGCGGACGTTTTTTATTTTCTGAAGCGGGCACTTTTGCCCGTCACGACAAATCGATTTACCGTGGCGGGCATCTTATATGGCCCGCCTCGGAAAAAGGCCCAAGCCCAAAATCCTCAGCAAGGCCCGATTTTTATCTTGAACTATATATACGAGGAGTTAGGGTTTTCTACCCCACTCCTCTGTCTCTCTCTTCCTCCACCGGTCGGCCCGACCTCCTCTCTGTTCCACGCGACTGAGTCCGAGGCGAGGCGACCTCCCCACTCCCCACTCCGCGCGAGACCGAGGCAGTCTCCTCTCCACTCCGTCGTCACCACCTCTCCACTCCTCTCCCGACGCGACATCCACCGTGGCGTTGGGGACATGGGGGGCGTGTCGGCCTGCTGGGACTGGCTCCCTTCCTCGCCATGGCGCGACATCCACCGGCGGCGCGCCTGGTATCTCTCTCTCTCCTCGTGCGGATCGGCCCTTCTTCCTCCTGGCCGGATCTCGGTGGGGGCGGCCTCCCATCCCTCCTTGACGACGCGCGACGGGCGGTTCTAGGTGGAGGCTGCATTGGATCCTATAGGAGGGCGGTTGATCCAACGGATCCCGGTCGGATCCGGTGAATCTTGACGTGGTGGCGCCGCCAATGTAGGTCTGAGTCTCTCTTCGTCTCCCTCGCTCTTCTCTCTTCGTCTCCCTCCTCATGTCCCTCTCCCTTTCCCAGATCTAGATAAGCACGACGGACGCCGGAGTGTGGTGGCGGGGCAAGACGCGGATCTTGTGTCGCGGCGGCCTCCTCCCTTCCGCCTCATCTTGACAGCATTGGCTGCAGAGAAGGCATTGCGGTGGATCGAGTGGACGACAACAATGGCGCTAGGGTTTCGGTTTGGGATTGGGCTCACGGTGGGCTCGATCAATGGGCTCGCCGGTGGGCTTTGGGTTTTTTGTTTTTTCCAAGCGATTAACCGAGGCGGTCGATTGTAACGTGCCGCCGTGGTAAAAGTATATTTACATGGCAGGCACGTTACACCGCTCGTCATGTCATGAAATCGGTTAACCGCGCGGCAAGCCAAGCCCGCCCGCCGCGGTTAAGCCACGATTTACCATGGCCTCTAGGCCGCGGTGGACGGCTTTGCCCGCCGCGGAAAACCGAAAACGCCCGCCTCCAGTAAAGTTTTTGTAGTAGTGTATGGAGCACACTCCTACTACTACGCTGTGTTCATACAAACGACGTAACCAATACGTATGTAGGTATACATGTACATGCTTTGTTTTCACGGTTCCTCACCAGGTTGACCGTTCCTCGGCCGTGGCCGCCTCGTCCCCTCGTACAGTACTTTTTTAACCCCGGCCCGTTCCCTGCTGACGGGCCAAGGACGACGATGCAGCAGTCGGCTCCCGCAGAATTTACAGATTTTTTTACCGTTACGACTTCACTTCACCGGCGGTACTGTACTACTGCTGCTACGTTGACTGCGCCTGCAGCGTGTTAAACATCCGCCACCTGGTACGTTCTCCCCGGTCTTCCCTCCCTCGTTATCAATACAGTACCTTCAGCAAGATTCAGAGAGACGGGGAGTCAAAAACAAACGCCAGAATTAACGTTCTGCCCGGTCCCCAAAAAACAAGACCTCGTTATCAATACAGTACCTTCAGCAAGATTCAGAGAGACGGGGAGTCAAAAACAAACATAAGAATTAACGCCGTGCTTAATTTCTCGAGTACCCCAAAAAACAAGACATCTGTGTGCTGCTAAAACCAAAGCAAGAGTATAGTCAAGGAAAACCACCCCCCATTCAACTCGTCTTCCCTCCGGTCAAAGCCGGTCAAGCTTTTTTCCCCAGGGGCCAGGGGGCAACAATGAATGAAGCCGACACGTGGGCCCGCGCCTCCTTGTCACGCGCGACCGTGGCCCCACCCATCAACTCCCGTCTCCGTTCCGTAAAAACCCAACCGCCCCGCGAGGACGGCTGACGCGCGTGCCCACCTCACCTGCCGCCACTGCTGGTGTCGGTGGTGGTCCCTCTCGTCAGCTTCTGAGTCCTGGCCCCGTGTGGGTGTGGGTCGTTCGCTTTTTGCCGGCTTGCGCCAACGCCCACCAACCAAAATCCGTCGTCT